TCGGTGTCCGTGTGTGAGCTCCAGGTGTTTTACATGCCGGATCACTGCTGGGACACTTAATTGGAACTGAGCAATTGTTAATGTTATTAGTTCCACCTGCGCTTTTTCCCGCTGCGACAAGTCAAAATGTCTGCTGCTTGAGGAGTCTATTCATTCTAAAAATTGCACGTCTTTGATGTGTGAGGACTCATTTGCATGCGCTGGTCATTTAAAATAAACACGGTTTTAATATTGCCGTTCCAGCTGCTCCACTCCCAACATCTATAACCGGGTTTTATTAAACCGTCTGCACGACGAGGTCACTGACTTCAGCCTTTTCTGTTCCGGTTTGTTCTTTTCATCTAGAAAGCTTCAACAGTAACTCGTGAAGACACTGAAGTATTTTTAAAGCTATCACAACTTTTATTGTGGTATAAAAAAGAGGAAAGAAGCGGCGCTCTCGCATCAGGATCGGATTAAAAATAATGTTTTACTGATAATTACTGAGCGTTTCGGTTTGCTGCTGTTTAATCAGGTAATTCTGCAGCATGCAAACCTCACGGTGCAGAAACCTGAATATCTGAGCAACATGGAGTCTGAAGTTTAATATCACTAAAAGGATCATCCTGTGTCTTCTCTCTCAGTCAGCACGTCTGTTTGTTGTTGCATTGCTCCTGATATTCCCGAGCCCCGGCTGCCCACCAGAAATAGCATGAAAGAGAAAAGCTTCCTCCGTTCTGCAGCCTCTCGCTGCTGCACCACCTGCTGCTGCGCTGGAGGTCACACGCTCCGTTTCACAGCGAATGCCCAGAGAGGCTACGTTTGTTGTTGAATTATTAAGCAGAGCGGGGGGAGAGGAGGAGGCTCCGATGCACTCATTGATTACATTCTCTGCCAGCTTTTACCAAGCAAAAGGCTCCAAAACGTTTCTTTGACGACGTCTGAACAACATGCCGCCTCTAAACAAACATTTTATGCGTTGAAAGAAGCCTTCAGAAATAGAGGGATGGCATGCAATCTAACTCGTGTACTGCTGTACGCTGGTATCAGGCGGGAAATGCTGGTTCTCCACCTTTACAAAAGGCCCATACAGTTTGTAATCTCCATATTCATTCATGCAGAAAGATGTTTAGCAAGACGAGGAGAGCGTGCAGCCCAGCTCCGAGGCCGAACCTCACCGCAGCTCTGATGAAACTGCTCGTATTGGGAAGTTTGGAATGTAATTAGTTCTGCACGTATTTGGTAATAAATCAAACACACGGAACCAAACTAGACATAAATCAAACACTGGACAAAGTAATTTTGGCCGGATGGTGATGGCGAGTAAAAGAGACCACGACCATTTGAATGAAACAGTCGTGAAGATGCTGCAATAAAAATAAACAAAACCTCAACTTTATGGAGAAACACGACCGAGGGTGGTGCTGGAGGGAATAAAAAAGATTCATGAGTCCCAGAACATGAACTGGTGCTAAATAACAAAAACAGAGAGAAGAAGAAACCCTAAAAGCTGCAAACAACAAACATTCATACAGATAAATCACCAACATTATTAATATTTGCTAAACACCAGAATAATGAGAGAGAGAACTTTTTACTACTTTCTTCAAAGTCAGAAGTTTACATCCACTAAGACGCCTCCAGACTATTTGGGAAAGCCCAGATGATGATGTCATGGCTTTGGAAGCTTCTGATTGGTTAATTGACAACATCTGAGTTAACTGGAGGCACACCTGTGGATGTATTTTAAGGCACACCTCAAACAAACTATATGGAAAATCTAAAGAAATCAGCCAAGACATCAGGAGGAGAACTGTGGACCTCCACCAGTCTGGTTCTGAAGGTTCCACGTTCATCTGTTCAGACAGTTCTATCAGTAGAACCACCATGGGAATGTCCAGCCATCATAGGCTCAGGAAGGAGACGAGTCCAGAGATGAAGTGTTCTGGTTGAAATGTGCGAATCAACCCCAGAACAGAAGCTGAAGACCTTGTGAAGATTCTGCTGAAGCTGGTCAGAGAGTCATTATCCACAGTGGAACCAGTCCTGTACCGACATGGGCTGGAAGGCTGCTCAGAGAGGAAGAAGACATCACTCCAGAAGAACCATAAAAAAGACAGATTACAGTCTGTAGATGCACACAGGGACAAAGAGCTTCATCAGTGGAGACATGTCCTGTGGTCTGATGGAACTAAACCTGAACTGTTTGGCCTTAATGACCATCGGTACATCTGGAGGAAAAAGGAGGAAGCTGGAAGCCTGAGAACACCATCCCAGCTGTGGAGCACGGGGGTGGCAGCATCATGCTGTGGAGGGACTGGTGACCTTCACACAATAGATGGCATCATGAGGACAGAACATGATGTGGAGATATTGAAGCAACATCTCCAGACATCAGCAGGAAGCTACAGCTTGGACACTAATGGGTCTTCAGATGGACAATGACCCTCAGCATAGCTCCAGATTAGCTACAGAGAGGCTTCAGGACAACAGAGTCAGTGTTGTGGAGTGGCCATCACAAAGACCTGATCTCCATCCTGGAGAACATCAGTGGAGCAAGGAGACCACCAAACCTGACCCAGTTCCACCAGTTCTGTCAGGAGGAATGGGCCAGAACTCATCAGACTGTTGTGAGAAGCTTGTGGAAGGAAACCCAGAACGTTTGACCCAAATCATAGAGTTTAAAGGCAACGCCAGACATGGTCCGAAGGTGAAAGAGCAGAAGATGCCTTCCTGTAAATCACACCACAGGATCCAACAACAGCTAACCCTCCAACCCTTCCTCAGAAAACACGAGCAAGAGGTGTTTGTTTATTTCTGTGGGAGTAGCTGCTCTTCTGAGACTATCCGTGAAATGCAAATGCTAAATGAGATAGTGTGAAGCGGAGTGACGGGAGGACGCCGCCGTCCCCGGAGCCACGCTGCCGGCGCTGCCTAAAATAAAAGGGCAAAAGACAAATGATCTGATGATACAAGACGTTTGCATGAACGAGATAAATGAGCTCATTTAACTATGACAACAGCTGCTCCACGTGCTGATCTCTGCTGACAGCTATTTTAGGAATCGCAGGCAGTGAATGGATGAAGGTTGAGCTGTAGAATCATGTGATCGGGACGACGCTAATGACGGTTATTAGCAGCAGCTGTGTGCCAGTGAGCCTCCCTGCTAATGCAAACCTCCCTGTCAGACTGTAATCCACAAAACAATGCTCACATTTCCTCTGCTGGTTGTTGCCCTGACGTTACATGTTTTGTTGCAGCAGAGCCGCGAACGCCGTCGGCACCGGTACCAGAATATGTGTCTGCTGATGTGGAATCAGAGCGTTTGTTTGTCTAACAATAGACTAAAGTCCAATCAATTTTCTGTGGAATGAAAAGATAATTCAGTGGATGGGGAGCATCCAGGAGGGCTTTGTAGAGGGAAGGAATGAGGTCTGGAGATGAAAGGAAGAATTTTTCCTCCATTATTTGGATTGAAGACAAAAGGCCGCCATTCAAAAACAACTTCTTGTTGATGTGCTTAAAGAAGCAGGAAGAAGGTGTGCGACGATGAGCAGAGTGCCAAGACGTACAATAAATTACTGTCTCTGCCAACCACAGCGAAATTGGCTCCATTCACCTGCTGTCGTTAGCAGGGAGGCGACACGCCGGGTTAATAGCACGGGTCAGGCCCAAAGTAAGTCCTGGGCACGGAGCCAGCGGAAAGAGAAAGACCTGCTCGCAGCAGCAGCAGCCGTGTAACGAGCTCCGGTCGGGCCTCAGCAGCAAGAACTAATCTCCACATTGAAGTTTATTACCAACAACAAAACAACTTAATCTGTCATCAGAAATCAGCTTCAGGAGGATGAGGGAATGACATGGTTCAAAACTGTTCAGAAAATGCTTTAAACACAAAAACCCTCAGTGACTACAGACAGAAGGACGTGAAGCGTAGAGGACGTCTGAATGACTATTATTTTTACCGATTCATCTGCTGATGGAAAAGTCAGAAAACTGAACTCTGACAAACTGTTTTGGGAAAACTTTGAGCCGTTCTGACATTTGACAGCAGAAGAAAAACCCTGAAGTGACCCGAACACACAAAAATATTTTAGGTTTTATACTTTTGTGCAGGTGCAACAATTTTTACGTTAGTTCTGGTTCAGATTTGACCCGTAGATCCACTGGGATGGACTTCAGATCTACCAGCGTGGATCACATCAATCAATCTATTGTGTGAATGATGCTGCCACCTCCGTGCTCCATCCTGCCAGTGTGCATCCAATCAAGGAAAACTGGTTTTAGGGGATCCTGAAACTGTGAAACTGTACAGGCCAAGTTTAATGTGTGTT